GAATTAGTTTTTGCTTTCTTGTTTTGAGTGCATTTCAGAGCCTGTACTTTTTCACTTTGACTTGAGTAAAGAAGTTGAATCAGTACTTCAACTTTTATTGGAGTATATCGGTACTTCTGCATAAGTAAAGAAAGCCTGTATTTGTGCCAACTCTGGGTTTAAGAAAATTAATTTTTAAATGATCAGGTAAAATAATTGAAATTGAAATGTTTCTCAAAATATTTCCAAGTTTTGCTGAGATAGAGCACCCTTAAACTAAAGGTATCCAGCAGTAATCTCGCTGCAGCTAATCTCATGGCAGCAGCAGAGCCTCCTTTGGTTTTCTGTGCTTGACAGTATGTCTGATTGAAATGAGTGACAGACACTGGACAAAGGAAAGTAGCTCTTAATGTGGATCTTGGAGTAGATCTCCCATCATAGGCAGAGAAGTTCTCATGGGCAAAATTAAATGCAACTGATTGTTTATCTGCAGCGTGTTTTTATCATGGATTTAGGAAAAGCTGTTTCCTCTTTAGACATGTGTGATTCTGCAGGGTACAACTTTTAATCAAATAGCTGCTTCACACTTTAAGCCATTACCTGAATGTTTTGTATTCTGAACTTTGCAAATAAGAACACCAGAACTCGAGACTGTCTCACACGGTACTCCCGACACATTTGTCAAATTTGTGCACATTAAAGTGAGAGACATGCTCGCAGTGTACAGTCCTTCTGGATTATATCTGTGTGTTCCTGTCATCACATTAGTAACATTTTTCTTATATCCCTTTGTTTCTAAAGTCCTCCCACATCAACATGAATTGTGAGGAAGAGGAGGGTGTGCATGATCAGCAGGTCTGTAACCAGGAGAGGAATTCCAGTCTGGACCAAAATGACCCAGAGCCTCCACAGATTAAAGAGGAACAGGAGGAAGTCTGCACCGGTCAGGAGGCCGAAGGCATCATCGTCTGGACCGGAAAAGAGCGGCTCAGACTGCTGGATACCATTTGGAAACCTGAAATAAAGCTACACAGAATAGGTATGTTAAACTGTAAATAAAAGTCCATAATAATTATATAACTCTTTTAGGATTTTAAACTGAGCTAAAAGGTACTATAATTTTTAGGGATAGTATAAAGGACGCAAGGAGAGAGTGGAGAGGGAATAATATGAAAGAAATAGTCTAAGGAGGTTGGAAAGAAAAGCGCCTGGACTTCTTTAAGTTGCTTGAAGATGTTTCACCTCTCATCCGAGAAGATGAGCCAAGGTGTGAAAACGGGTGTGGGTCACAATCAGCCAGGGTTTCGGGTGAGCTCATTGTGACCCACACCCGTTTTCACACCTTGGCTCATGTCATTAGGTAGAGGATCATCAGAGGGTTCTTTTGTCCCTCTGTGGGGGGTCACTCCCACTGGGTTTAAATCTGGGACTCTCCACCATTTGACCCTAGAACTGAAGAAGCTTCTCGGATGAGAGGTGAAACGTCTTCAAGCAACTTAAAGAAGTCCAGACGCTTTTCTTTCCAAGCTCCTTAGACTACGATGACCTGGATGACTGAGAACCTTCACAGACATGAAAGAAATAGAAACGTGGAGAAATTATTGCGACAAAAGATCTTTTGTCCCGTGGGTTGACCATTGTCCTGATGCCTTCATTACTCAGCCATTTTACTACACATGCACTCAGGGCACTCTTTGGACATAAAATGCTAAGAGTTCCCTAAATGTTTATAAACGATCCCCCATAAACTTTAATGAACTCGTAAAGATGAGTGGGCCAAAATTTCTCCACAATGATGTGAGAGACTGATTAAGTCACACAGAAAGTGATGACTTCAAGTTATTACTGCTGGATGTGGTTCTACAAGCTACTGAATCACTAAGAGTGTACTTGGTTTTTCACAGGATCGTAACTCTTCTACTACAAACTAATGCTGTTGTAATAAATACAGTATGTCTTGCTTTGTCTTGCTGATATATGCAAGGTCTTCCTTAAAACTACGTCATCTGGATATACCTTTCAGCATTGTTGGTGCTTTTCCAGATGTTGTAAGCTGCCAGGTCAGTGGATACGAATGCACCTCTGTACCAACAAAGATGAAGGTTTTTGAACTGAATGCTGATTAAAAAGCCAGATGGTGTCTCTAATTTTTAGACCAGAGAATGTGGTAAAGTATTTAAAAAAAACAAAAAAAACTTCACATGTAGTTTCAGTACAGTTTTTGATCTAATTCCATTTTAAACAAGCTTTGGTTCAGAGAAGACGACAGCATTTCTGGTTTCTTTTTTGCATGATAAAGGTTCAACCTAAGATAAGATAAGGTGAGATAACCTTTATTAATCTCACACGTGGGAAATCTTTTGGTCACGGTAGAAAGTACAAGTTTAAGAGTGGTAAATGTTAATAAAACACAATAGGATAGGGTAAGATAAAATAGAATAGAATACCATACAACAAGAATAAAATACTATATACAATAGAATAAAGTACTATACAAATAAGATAAAATACTTATAAGATACAAAGAGCTCTGTTGATGTAGGAAAAAAATTGCACTTTGTAATATTGCACATCAGTGAGACGGTTACAATTGTGTATCCGATGTGTGTGTGTCTGTCTGCACGTGTGCAGTCATCTGCAGAGACCATGTTGTAGAGTCTGACAGCAGTTGGAAGGAAAGACCTGAGGAATCTCTCCATCCCACATCGTGGGGGCCGCAGCCTGCCACTGAAGGAGCTGCTCAGTGTTGTTAGAGTCTCCTGCATGGAGTGGGAGATGTTGTCCACCAGGGATGACAACTTAGCCAACTTTTAGGGCATCCTAAAACAGAGCTGGCCCTCCAGATCAGCCTGTTTAGTCTCTTTCTGTCCCCAGCAGACCACACAGTAAAAGATGGCTGAGGCCACCACAGACTCATAGAAGGTCTTCAGGAGTGGGCCCTTCACTCCACAAGACCTGAGTCTTTGCAGCAGGTACAGCCTGCTCTGCCCTCTTCTGTAGAGGCCATCTGAATTGTGAGTCTAGTCCAGTTTATTGTTCAGATGAACACCAAGGTGCATGTAGCTATCCATAGCCTCATTGTCCATACCTTGGATGTTTAGTGGTTGCAGTGGAGGATGTTTGTGCCTGCGGAAGTCTACCACCAGCTCCTTGGTTTTACTAGTGTTGATCTGGAGGTAGTTCAGCTGGCACCAGTCCACAAAGTCTCTGTACTCCTTGTCGTCCCCATCAGTGATCAGGCCGACTATTGCAGAGTCATCAGAGAACTTCTGCAGGAAGCACTGGGTGGAGTTGTGGGAGAAGTCTGCAGTGTAGATGGTGAAGCGCAACGGAGCCAGAACCGTTCCCTGTGGGGCCCCTGTACTGCAGATGACTGCCACACAGCCCTGAGTTCTCAAATACTGTGGTCGGTCGGTGAGGTAGTCCATTATCCATGTTGTGAGGTGATGGTCCACTCCCGAGTTCTCCAGCTTGTCCTTCAGGACCGTGGGAAGAATGTTGTTGAAGGCACTGGAGAAATCAAAGAACATTATTCTCACAGTGCTCCCAGCGGTCTCCAGGTGAGAGAGTGAACGATGTAGGTGGTGAATGGCAGCTTCATCTGCTCCAATGCCAGGCTGGTAGGCAAACTGAAGTGGGTCCAGTGATGAACTCACCAGGTGCGGAAGCTGAGCCAGGACCAGCCGCTCCAGGGTCTTCATCAGGTGGGCCTGTAGCTGTTGAGGTCCTTGGGACGTGGGGTCTTTTGCACTGGTGCAACACAAGAGGTTTCCAGAGGTGTGGAACTCTCCTCAGGCTCAGGTTGAAGATGTGCTCCATCACCCCACAGAGTTTATCTGTGCAGGACCTGACGACCCTTGAGCTGATGTCGCCTGGACCCGCTGCCTTCTTGGTTCTGGTCTTCCTCAGTTCCCTCCTAACCTGGATGGTCGAGAGAGATAGGCTGGAGCCTTGTGTCGGTTGTGTGCTGGATGCTGTGTTGGGGGTGGGGAGTTGTGAGCAGGGTGAGTAGAAGAGGTGTGATGTGTCAGAAGTGGAACAGCAGCAGTGAGGGTGGGTGAGTCTGCAGCCAATGTTGAAGACTGCCTCATGGATAAATCATACCTGTTAAAGATGCCCACCTTGCATCCCCCACAGGCAGAAAGTTCTGATCCTTGTGGCCTGAGATGGTTATAAAGCCTCTCCAGACTTCACTAACATTGTTCTGCAGAAGCTGGTCTTCCATCTTCTTCCTGTAGCTGGCTTTTACATTCCTGATCAGGCCTTTCAGCTCTCTCTGCACCCTTTTCAGCTCCTCCTTGTCTCTGGCTTTGAAGACCCCCCTCCTCTGCTTGAGGATGGCTTTAATTTCTGGGGTAATCCAGGGTTTGTTGTTGGAGAAACGCTGCACAGTCCTGGTGGGTACGGTATTATCCACACTGAAGTTATTGTAGCCAGTAAAACAGGTCACAAGGCTGTCTATGTCCTCCCCATGGTCATCTCAACTTTATGCCTCTTTTGCATTGGCATACAGTAGGTCCAATGTTTTATTGTCTCTCATGTGGCACGTCACATACTGGGTGAAGGTCGGCAGTGTCAGTGCTTCTCTCCAGGTCCCGCCATCTTCTCAAATAGAGGAGGCAAAATTATGCAATTGTCGTTGTCAAATTGACTTCAGTGTGAATGCACACTGCAGTCGACTGCACTCAAATCGACTGGTTTTCCATTACAACCCAGTAGTACCTTGTTTGCGTGCTTGTTGTCATAAGAACCTGTGTACGCACCCTGCAACATAATTAATATGCGACATACAACAAAGGTGGATGTCGAAGCAAATATATCCCTGCTGCTCAGTCTGTAGCTTTTCGTCACACTTGGGAGAACATGGCGTTGTTTTTTGTAGTAATTTCCTTTGTTGCCGAGTTTCAGAAATGGTGGTTTTGACTTTCGTGAGCGAGATGCTCTCATGACTCATCGAGTGATGCTACTGACCAGCCAATGTGACATGCAGCGTGACAGCGTCACATTTTAGTACCTGTTTGGATCACTTGGAACCCTGGGCGAGCAGGTACTAAAACAGTACCTGGTACCAGGCACTGTGACCTAATGGAAAATCCTGGAAACTGTGCGAACCGTGCCGAGTTGATCTGAGTAGGTACTAGTGGACAAGGGGCTTTAGATTTAAACCAAATAGGGCCAAACCCTTGAGCCAAAAAAAGTAGATGAGCTAAAAACACTGATGGGGGTGAAAAAACAAGACCTAAACACTAAAGTTAAAAGGTTTCATATGAGGGATCTCTTTCTTACACTGAATAACCTGAGAAAGAGAGAGTGGCTTATTTTTCAAAGATGGTTACCACAGTAGGTAAAAAGCGTTTTTAGGTCACTGTTTGTGGGGTCAAATAGTGTTCAGTCCTTATTCTAGTTTAGTTTATATCTGCTGCCACTTGTCCATGAAATCCATAATTAAACACAGGTGTCTTAAGAGATTGATTGCCAGTTTTGTCTTCTTTATTGCAGGAAAACACAAAAATCTAGATTCCCTGCAAGTCCAATCTTGCCTTGCAAAAACTAGAAATTCATTGGAAAGGAAAGTCCAGTGCTTCTCAGTAATATAACTGAACACCGTACCAAACCATCATTTCCCTAAATTATTGCTACTCATTGTATACATGCTTAAGTTATGCAGCAGTGTCCCATCTACGATGAATTCAAAACACAACACCAAAACTACTCACAAACGCACACCTTAGCGAACACGTCACTCTAGTCCTCAAAGAATCGCACTAGCTTCCAATTCAGCACAGTGTGGAACTGAAGGAAAATTAAAATTACCTGCAGCTGAGCTCACTGTCAGTTTTCTTTCTGCAGCAGCAACCATCAGCATTAATAACCAGTGGGAAGCAGTTAATTGAACAATTTCTATTTTCTCCTGTGTTTTATACACTAAACTTTTTTATGTTTAATGTCTTTGTACAGACCTCCACCAGCAGGATATTGGTAAGGAGGAAGAAGTTGTCACAGATCAGCAGGTCTGTAACCAAGAGAGGAACTCCAATCTGGACCAGGAGGATCCAGAACCTCTGCAGATTAAAGAAGAACAGGAGGAAATCTGCATCAGTCATGAGGAAGAACCGCTTGTATTGAAGGAGGAGACTGAGACCTTTATGGCTGCTTCTACTTACGAGGAGTGTAAATCAGAACCAAACAGTGACCAGTTCCTTTTTCACAACTCTCCTGACCCAGAGAGCCTAGAACAAGAAGAAAGCGAGCATGTGGACTTAGCATCAAGTAAAAAATTATTAAAATGTGACACTTGTGGAAAATTTTTTCAGTATCAGTCCAAACTTAATAGACATCTGAGAGCTCACACAGGTGAGAAGCCATATTTTTGTGTCACATGTGGGAAGAGATTTAGTCAGATGATACACTTAAGAAAGCACATGAGAATTCACACAGGTGAGAAGCCTCATCCTTGTAGCATCTGTGGAAATAAGTTTAATGACATGTCAGCATTCAAATCGCACATGAGAATTCATACCGGTGAAAGACCATATTCTTGTAGCACCTGTGGGAAAAGTTTTAGCCAAATGATACACTTGAAAATTCACATGAGAGTTCACACAGGCGAAAAGCCGTATTCTTGTGATATGTGTGATAAAAGATTCACTAATTTGATAAACTTGAAAACGCACATAAGAATTCACACGGGAGAGAAACCACATTCTTGTAACATCTGTGGGAAAACCTTTCGTCAGAATTCGACGTTGCAAACTCATCTAAGAATCCACACAGGTGCGAAACCATATTCTTGTAGCACCTGTGGGAAAAGATTTAGTCATATTAAAAACCTGACAACTCACTCAAGAATTCACACAGGTGAGAAGCCATATACTTGTAGCACCTGTGGGAAAAATTTCAGTCAGTTGACTCATTTAAAAAGTCACATGAGAATTCATACTACCTTACAAAATGTGGCAGAGTAGGAGTGTGTGACTGTTAGAATGCATAGTGAGGAAAATCACAGCTACACCTGAGGGGAAAAAAAGATGACCTTATATTCTGGTCAGTATGGAATAGCTTTTAATAATAGTCACTCAAGTTGGCTGTGTTTTTGTTCTGATGTAATTGGAAGCCCAGTTTTATAAAGGGTCTCAAATAAGCCAGTTTTTAGAACATTTCCTACTGAACTATCTTCAATATGTATTAACATTTCACGGTAGAAATTTTAAACCTGTATAACCAGTCCTGTGAAATTTTAGCTTCATATATTAAACAAAAACAAAACAAAAAGTTATATGTTTTAAGTTACTTTCAAAACTTAAATGGTTTCTAACTAAGTCGTAAAGTGATAATATTCTATTTTCATTCAGCTTTCAAGCATTTGAGCAAATACGATAAATGTTTTAACGAAAACAAAAATATCCGTAAAGAGTTTAATCTGAATAGAACAAGTTTCTAGATGGTTGTGTAACTACAACTCAGAAAATAATTTCATTAGATATTTGCATGTTTAACCTCCTAGGACCTGCCGTCCACATATGTGGACATCACATTTTGGGTTATTTAGACCAAAATACTAAATTTTGCTCAACAATGGCCTGATATCCACTAACGAGGACATTATACTGCTACTGTTCTATCGAAATTTTAAACAAATATCCTCATATGTGCTCTCATTTTTCTTAGAAACAAAAATCAGGTAAAAAAAAAAAAAATCTGGTAATTCTTTGTTTTTACATTCATCAGGTCCCAATATGCCCCGATATCAAAGAGAAATTAAAAATGCATGCCATGGAAGAGTTTGGGTCTTAGGAGGTTAATCAAATCATTAAATCAGATTTTTATCAAAACAGAAAGTTTCTGTTGAGCCTTCTCCAATTTACATAACAATGTTATGTTTCAAAGTGTGGGCATATTTTCCCTCTTTTCATGTTTTAACAAGAATTATCAGAGTTGTCCAAAAGCAGTATTTTTTTCCTCTTCTGCCTGTCAGCTTAGACATTGTCATATTATAATATACTATGTTACATATAATCTAATAACTGAAATAACACAAATAAAATGATGAAATAAGCCAATAAAAGAAACATAAACAAGAGGAGCCTATAGAGACTTCATGGAATGTATCTTGGAAAAGCTACATATGTTTGGCACAAAAGTGATTTTTACACCATAATTCGTATTTTAAAAGCTGCTAGACTGGACAGGATTTAATTTCTTAAAAAGCATCAAATTAAATTTCTATAAAAACAAAAAGTTTCTGTTGAACCTTTTCTAATTTGAATAAAAATGTTCAGAGTTGTGTTAGCAGTAGGACTCAAAATGGTAGGTAGGTAGAGTAGGGGGAAAAGGGCTGAAAGTGGGTCATTGGACCATTTAAAAAAAAAACAAAAAAAAACTGTTCAATATATGAAACTAAAATTTCACGGCAATCAGTATAAATGTTTAAAATTTCTACTGTAAAAATTTTATGCAAATCTGAGATGGGCTAGCAGAAGTCTTTGTTGATTTGACACAGACTTACCCAGAAGTCAACAAGTAACATTTATTTTTTAGTTTATGAATAGTAGGTTTACTCTTCAGCTTCAGAAGCTTTTATAAGTGCTTTGAAGTCTGCCATGGAGACAAAGTTCCAGCTTGAATATGCTCTGAAGGTTATTTCATCACCGAGATGGAAAAAAAGAAAATATTATTCTACTAATTTCATCCTAGTTTTAAATATGTTTTAGTTTGATATTTTTATTAGCCACTAAACAGGTTACACTACATAAGATTAAAAACTGACAAAGATCAAGAAACACATAACATATTTTTTTTATGAACATTAGTTATTTTGTGGTGATATTTATTTTAATGAAGACTAAACTTGATTTTTATCCTGTCCTGTATATTTAATCTCTCGCACTGTTTCTTTGTGATGTGGGTCATTTATTGTAAGATGTCAACACAATCTAATTAAAACTTGTGTCGAATAATATGGTTTAATGTGTGATCTTTTAAAAAAAAAAAAATTGAACCACCCCTGTGTGCCATATTTAATGTCAAAGTAAAGTTGTTGAACGAAGATCAACTTGACCAACTAAAAAACTGATCACTGTCACAAGATGGCAGTAATTTAAAGTTTGCAAATAGGCAAGACGCTTTATGACAGAATGCTGTTTGAGATGCAAGAAGAGAGATTGTGGCCACTCAGATTTTAGATCATATGTGTTCATAGATTTCACTGGGCATGTACTGCCTGATTTGCTTGCCCTGACAGAAAGTCACTATCAAGTTTTTTTTCTCCTGTTGGCTCTTTTTCGTCACTAATAGGGGATGTTCTTTATTGTAATCTCAGGCGCTGTGTGTGTGTGTGCGTGTGCACAGAAACCCTCCCCTCCTGCAGTTCAAACCCTTTCAAGACTCAAACAAATAGAAGAAAACGGGAAACTGGGAGAAAAATTGTTTCAGTGACCAAGAGTAATACTATCATCAAAATATGGAAAGAAAATCTAAGCTTTACTAGCATATTTATTAACGCTTTCACGCATAGTGGTCACTACAGTGGACAGCTATTCAAAGGCTCTTTTCTTGGATTTGTGTCAGTGTTAATGGTATACTTAAACTTAAAAATGAAGTTCAAAAATCTTTTTTTCATGTCTAAAGATGAGTGAAAATCCAGATTGAGGTTGTCATAATTCATGCATGAAAGGTTAATCATAATCATGGTAAAATGTTCATTGATCATGATTTTGATTTGAAGACATACTCCCAAGCTGTACTCTGAAAGATCAATGAAGCCTACATTTGCGCAACTCATCAAGCACAAATGATCAATTACAACACAACGGGGAAAAAAAACAATATATTAAACAAACCCAAGTGTAAAAGAAAACATAACTTGCAGCTCATGTTAACTCAGACAAGTTCCAGGTGTTACAGTTTATTCATAAAGAAACAAGGTTAAAGTTCACTGACCAGAAAAAAACAACTCTTTGTCTGGATTAATGGGAAAACCCCAAAGTGGATATTTTCCCGTTTGGTTAACGTAAAGCCACTTTAAACCTTGTTGATTAACGGAAAAACATGGAACTAAGGCCAACATTTTGACAAAAAGAAACAAAGTTTACAAAATCAAGGACCAGAATAAAGACACACACTCAACCAACTTAGTGGAGTCGCATTACTCGTTTTATTGGTTGATTGTGATCAGGATGATTCCTGGATGAATCTCTGATCAAGTAATTTTGTTTGCCCAGTTGAGCAACATGATTATGGAGGACCACAAGAGCCACACACACCCCAAAAAAATTTTATGCTGCAATTTTGAATTGTTAGTGCAACAAAATGCATTTGCAAATTCAGTTACAAATGTATTTTTTAAATTATTTTATTTATTTAAACATTGCAAAAGTAACTTATTATTTAATAATTACATTTTAAATAAAGACTATTTATAAATCAATATTTCGAAATGATTTATTAATCCATTGATAAATACGTCAAATCAAAAATGGATTTCACAAAAAAAGAATTAAACTCTCAAAAAAAAACCCTAATTTGACAAATGCCATTCAGCAGCAGTTTCTACACTCTGCCCAACACGGATATGTGAAGAATGTGAAAGGACTCTGCTGTGAAATGGAGAGCCAAATCTCTGCGTCTTTGCCTGCGGACAGCCTGACCACCTGTTAACGGTAACATTTTAACATGGCTAATGTTGGCACCACTGCATGTAGTGCCACAATTTTTTAAGTTAAAGAGTTTTTCCTTCCCACTTACACCAAGTTGTTGTTTATAGAAGGACATGTGACTGTTGGCGTTTTCTCTCTATTACTGTAGGGACTTCACTTTACAACTCATGAGTTTAAAACACATCTTTATTTAAACCTTATAAAACTCAAAACCCTTCAGCATCTTCTGAAGTTTAATTTTCATGAAAATGAACATCAAGTTCATAATGATATATTTGTGTCTTCTGTGTGACACTTCCCTGCTTTTAATATTGTGCAGTGAAACCTCTGAACAACAGAGAAATTAAATATTTGCCATAATAAGCAACAAGTGACAAAAAAAAACAACTTATATAAGCTTCTTTCTCTATAACAAAGCTGTTTAGTGGAACAAGTTTATCTACAACTTGCGCTTGTCACCTCTACAGCCTAAAACAATAAAAATATGAATTCAGACAAATATAAAACCAGAGTTTCCCCTGCATCATATGAATAAGACAATTAATAGAATAAACAATTGTTACAGTTAGTTATTGTGTAAAATAAATATATGCCGTATTGAGCTGAATAATACCTGTGGGATAATCATATTTTATCCCACAGGTGTGATTTGCACTGTCATTGCTCGCTCTACTATTAACACACATGTTACACTGAAACATTTCTTAAACAGGAAACTTTTAACCAGTCGTCATGTGAATTGTCATGTGAGATTTCATGTTCGTAACATTACGGAATCTTTTCCCACAGGTACTACACAAATATGGCTTCTCGCCTGTGTGAATTCGCAGGTGATTTTGCAACTGTGCCAACTGAATGAAACTTTTCCCGCAGGTGCCACACGAATATGGCTTCTCACCTGTGTGAATTCGCATGTGAGTTTTCAATGTTGATAATTCTCTAAATGATTTCCCACAGGTGCTACAAGAAAACGGCCTCTCACCTGTGTGTACTGTCATATGTCTTTTTAAACCGGACAGGCCACAAAATCCTTTCCCACAGGTGCTACAAGAAAATGGCCTCTCACCTGTGTGAGTTCTCATATGCCTTTTCAGGTTTTGCAGCTGAATGAAACCTTTCCCGCAGGTGCTACAAGCATGTCGCTTCTCACCTGAGTGAATTTTCATGTGATTTTTGAATCCTGTTAAATTACTAAATCTTCTTCCACATGTAGTACAACAATATGGCCTCTCACCTGTGTGTATTCTCATGTGAATTTTCAAGTATACCATTGTAGCGTAGCTTTTCCCACAGGTGCTACAAGAATGAGGCTTCTCACCTGTGTGAATTTTCATGTGAGTTTCTAGTCCGGATTTATAAGTGAATTTTTTCGCACATGTGTTACAAGAATATGGTTTTTCACCCGTGTGGATTCTCATGTGTTTTTTGCACTCTGATGAGCTAATAAAGCTTTTCCCACATGTGCTACATAAATATGGTTTCTCACCTGTATGGATTCTCATGTGAATTTTTAAATTTGGTGTCTGGGTGAATCCTTTCCCACAGATGCTGCAAGCAAATGGTTTCTCGCCTGTGTGACTCCTTACGTGACATTCCAGTGATGATTTCTTTCTGAAACTGCTCCCACAGATCCTACAAGAATAAGGCTTCTCACCTGTGTGAATTCTCATGTGAACTTTCAAGTTTATCATATGCTTGAATCTTTTACCACACATGCTACAAGAATGGGGCTTTTCATCCGAGTGAACTTTTATATGACTTTCCAAGTCTGATTTCTTGTAGAATTTTTTTCCACAGGTGCTACACAAATGTGGCTTTTCACCTGTGTGAATTCTAAGGTGGC